CTGCCTTGGGGCTCGCTCTTGAGTCCCATCAGCGGCCGAACAGTTGCTAACATATTATAGGCAGATGAATATTGTTGACAAAGACAGGAGAGACTGGAATGGCCGTTTCTGGCTCATTAGCCGTCATCAGCCAGACACGTCTGCTGTCAACCCTTGTCAGAATTTGCGATCGAGGACTGCAAGACAACGAGCCAGTGGCGCAGTGGGTTTAAGCGCTGGATTTGTAATCCACAGGTCGGGGGTTCGAGCTTCGGGTGGTGCATCACCTGGGATTGGGTATGGTTAGCTGATGGCGGCTAATGAACCAGAAATGGCCATTCCAGTCTTCATTGTTTTTGTCGGCAATTTTCATCCGTCGTCAACTGTTCACGTTCTGTTTAGAGGACTGCTGACATTTCCTGTTTACTGGCTCCTTCGATAATGCACTTCGTTGCGACCCACTATTTTTCATCGCCAAACCAAGAATGAACAGTTTTAGGGTCCGGCTTAAGTGCGAGTGCACGCCGCTCTGTTGAGTCGTTCTCCCGCCAAATTACTGGTCCACCTACACAAAGTGCATGCCGCCCCGAGGAGTCGTTCGAACGTCAGACAACCGGTCCGCCCACACAAAGTGTATGTGACGACGCGCACAGCGCGGCCGGCGCAGGACTCTAACGCGCAACCTGCGTGAGTCACAAGGCCAATGGAGTCGCGTCTTACTTGAGATCACAATCTCATTGGTCCAATCTATATGCGTTCGCTTGCTTACTTAAAATGTACTAGGTTTGTAAAAAGACTTCTGCATTGTCCACTTCTTGTCGTGTTCTTCCTCGGAAACTCACACAAGACGGAATTAGGCGGTGACATCTCGGTCTTGGCTTCCGTTACAACAAACAGTGTCTTCCCCTCGAACGCTTACCTCATTAACTTTTCATCTAAGAGTACGCAATTCCTCTTTGTCCACGTAAAGTTAAGTCTTTACGTACCTCTTTGTCCCCCCCCTCCAAACAGGCCCCCACTCTGAACCGACCATCGCTCTTCGAGGCAGCCTCTAGGGTGGGTGACGCGAGTCAGCAACTTCTCCAACTGGTCTCAACCAATCAGCTGCAATGTCATCGACTTCGACATCAGTTTCTCGAACCGATTCCCGAAGATGAAAACGAGAATGAACAGGGCGAACAAGACTATGAAGCAGAGACGGGCAATTTCATGGCGACTGCACACGCTCTCGACTGGCAGCTTCGGGACAACCTCCTGTCCGCCACAAAGGTACGCCCATGAGCTTATCTTATCTAGCAAATATTTGGGTGTGTCTGAGGCAACCCGAATTTGATGTTCCGCAGACTTTGGATATTTCTGCTGCCTCTGTTGTTCTGTACTTTCTCTGCGCATATTCTACCATTATAGAGGCGAGGTGGATGAACAGCTGTCCCCAAAAAAATGAATAGTTTCGGCGTTCTGTCCCGTGCGCTCAGTTGAGCTATAATCTCACTCGTAATCGCAAAGATTACCGCTGATTTCTTCCCGTCCAATAAACGCATAGTATCAAATTGTCAATCAGGTTATCAGCCTTGCTTCTAAATTGACTGAATACTGCAGTGGTATAGCCACCAGGTTCTGCAAAAGGAAGGGTCCTTCTGATTAATGGTCTAGTTGATAGAAATAAGGATATTTTTCTAGAGATTTGGGTGTGGTAGCGTACAACCTGCCAGGTTTTACTGCCTCCCACCTTCAGATTTCCAAATCCTAACAAATGTCACCAGGTTTGGGCCATAATTCCTTGATATATACCTCCATCTTACCTGTTGTTTTGCTTCGTTTCATTTAAACATCAATATTAACTTGTTTATTGTCGTCCTGCTGGATAGGCCTTCGTAGCAGTTACTATAATACACAAATTGTCACATGCTTCTTTTCATCGTCATCGTTTCACCCACCTCTCTTAAGGTGTTTATAATTTTGACCATTTGAGAGCAGTATACACAAATTCCTGCCAAATAAGGCTGTTGGAATGACGAAATTTCAATAACCACAACGCTAGTCGTCCGTTTCTACCGGCAACCTACTGGTTGAATGGAAGTAGTGTCCCGGAGCCCATTTACGAATTTAACTGCTTTGCGGCCAATTTTACTTCGTGGATTTGCCCCGAAGTGGATTTTGTTTCGTCGCATAAACTTTATGCTCTGCCTATCAGTAATCGACAGCTGGGGTGACAGAAAGATGGTGGCCAGCCTGCCATAACGGATGTCACCCCGTCTCAGTAGGAGCTGGCAGACAGCGGGTGACCTCAGAATAGAGTCATTAAGGCCCTGCTTCTTTATGGCGGTACTATGGACAGAGAGATAGTCAGGTTGTTCAGGTCACACCAGCAA